AAAACCTTACACAATAGTTATTCTATATTAATCAAATTAAAAAAAAACGATTTTCATTTTAACATAAAATTATTATTATTGTTTTAACATAATTCTAAAATGAATACGACAAAAGAAAAAATGAATAATATTAATTTGTTCTATCTATTTTAATAATAGCACCAACTACATTTTTTTTCTTTTTATTTAAATTTGTTTAACATGGTACAACTGTTTGACAATATTTTGTTTCTTTTAATGGTCCACATCGTTTACTACCATTACGTGTTCGACGTATAGGAATACGTGTACGTATTTGTATGGCATCTTGTCCACAACCTGTACATGGAAACCGTGTACTTCATTGATTTGTAACACAATTAGTTGGTGCTAAATAAAATGAAATAGGAAAAAAACACATCAATAAAAACATGTAACTACATACGACAAGGGTTTAAATGGCATCGTTGAGTTTCCAGAAAAAGTAATTGACGGTGTGCCTATAGAAAATATTTGGATTGCATTAAAAGTAAGCTACCGAGGGCAAAAATAAAATAATATTGAATAATTAGCTATTTTTTGTTTCCTCCTTTTTTATTTGTAAAAAAAAATGCTTGATTCTAGAAAAACATCCTTCATGAGTTTCAAGCCGTCGGTATTATCTGCATTATACCGGCGGTAGTGCGAACAAACATGCAACATAGGATCTTACTTTTAGAAAACGAATTTATTTTTTTAATCACAATGTTTTGCATGCTCAAAACTTTCAAATCCAGTTTTTTTTTCAGTTTTAATAACATATGTCTGTCGATTATAAATGTACGAATGTCACTTTGATTCATTAATATTAATATTTTTGTTTTCAAAAAGTCTCTTATATTAATAGAATAAAATATATCTTTAAAAATCTCGTAATCAATGATTCTATAATAAAATTACCTTTATTTCCATTATTATCACATTGAGCAGCATGTGCACCGTGACATTGACGTTTTTCAATTAAATGAGCATCTTTACATCTTGGATCATGATGTGAATTTTCACTGATATACCATCGTCGTCTTTCTGTTGTACCTTGACCATATGATACTGAACATGGTGAAAATGATGACTAATCAGTTACAGTACATCTAAATAAAGAAAAAATAATAAAAAATTATTCTTTGTAAAATCAACATACAGTGCGACTTGCTGATGTTCATCATCACAATTGTCATCTGTTCTTGCATAACACATTTCACTTTCACTTAATCGTTCATTACATCCATGATGATCAGCATTTTTATAGATTCTACAAAGAAATTAATTTATTAATATTAAAAAATTTTTGAAAAAATTCAAATAAACCTTGTTCGTGTTCTTAATCTATTTCCACATTTAACATTACATGGACTCCAATCTGTCCACGGTGATGTCATATATCGTGGATCAGATGATTGTTCATCTAAAATTATGAAAAAATATTTTCATAAATATAATCAATAGACAAAAACAAAATTACCAAGTAATTCTATATTTGTTTTTGCAATATCTTTTTCATTCTCAATTTCACCCATACGACTTAAATCAGCAAAATTTGGACCAAAACCAATAACAGATGATGCTTCACTACGTTATTGTCGGCCATTTGGACAAGCTACACCTTGTACCATAATTCGTTTAATACTCAATTTAGCAAATGGAGGTGGTTGATTGCCTAAACAATGAAAAAAATAAATGTTAACATTTTTTTTTATTTTTATTGCTTTTTTTAAGTTGAATTCATGCCAAAAAATGGTGATCGATTATCTGTAATATTACTTGAAAAAATTGGTGCAATTGGTTTACGCGGATTCTCCGGTCGTTTAGGACCCTAAATAAAATAAAATTTCTCTTTTATTCTATTCTAACAAAAAACGAAATTAAATCATCATTCACATCATATCGAACGCCCATATCTGTTCCAGCATCAATTGGATGATGTAATTCTTCATAGTTATCTAACCATGTACAATTTGGAAGACATAAATCAAGAGCAGATACACCTATAAATAATAACAGTAAAAAATTAAAAAAAAGAAAAGAATATTGAATTCTTATTAAATTCAATAGATTTCTACCAGTAATCCAATCAGGTGATGGTCCAAGCATAGTAACAAATGATAAGAAATGATGATTTCTTGAAGTTGTAAAAGCACCTGTAGTTGTTTTACTTATATTAACTGTCCAAAGACCAGGTACAATCATCAAATTACGAATAACACCCAATTTAGTCTAAATAAATATATTATTTTTCAAATTATTATTTAAAAAAAAAACAAAATACAAAGAGATTCACATGATTTTTTTATTTCTTTTTGCATTGTACCAATTGCTCCTCATTCAGCTACTTGTTTAAGACCATTACTTGCAATATCACC